CAAATATTCATTCTAATTGTAAGATGCTACTCGATAAATTTGCATTCAATCAAATCGACGAAATTATGCAACAATCTAATAATCTGTCCACATAATTGTTCAGCAATTTCAACCATCAAAAGCATACGCCTTTGGTTATTAACAAATTCCATAGTAGCTATAATTTAACTGAGATAACGATATTGGAAATACTCTAGAAAGTGGATCAAATAACTGGGACATTATATCAGCAAACATACTTGATGCGCTCAACATCGAACAACCGAGCCTGAGGGCGTCGCTTCATCTTCACAAATCTTGGTTCATCCTTTAATAAAACTCTAATGAAATTTGATCATCATTTTTGATTTTTCTCTCCTCTCTTCAAATAATTCATACAACAGTAGAATTAACTGATTGGTGGATGCTAAACGAAAATCGTACAAAATTTGGAATCGATTAATTATATTTCTTTTTCGAATTTTTACAAACTCCTCGGAAAATATTGTTGACAAGTTATATCAGATTATATTGAATGATAACAACGAAAAGATACCGGTGCNTCGGAAAATATTGTTGACAAGTTATATCAGATTATATTGAATGATAACACCGAAAAGATACCGGTGCTCTGAGGGCGCCACGCATTCTCGTGTAATCGATACGCGGTACAAGTTTCAAATACACCTTATTATGCGCTATATCAACCCAATCAATCTGAAAGGAAAATGATGTCGAATGATTCAAACTCTACTTTGCAACTATGAAACATTAAAAATTGGGAACAAAATTATGAAATGTTTGCTTGACTAAGCAATTGTCTAATTTTAAAAAAATGTTTTCAATAAACATTAAACAATTCCGCATCAAACAAATCGCTGGCAAATGAAACTAACTTGTGCCAGATCGTCCTTGTACATGGTACGTTTCATTCGAACATACATGCCACTTTTGAGTGTGGGAATGTCTTTGACAACTCTTAACGTGTCACACATCTCTTTGATTGGTACCATCGTTATTGTGTAATTGTTCAACGCTGATATTCCTTGGATTGCATTCGCCACATGTGATTGTTTCAGCGCTTCTATGTAGATGATACCCTTCAAACCCTCCTTCACGACGACCGTTTTGATTTGTAACGGCTGAAAGTAAGTGCTGTTCATTTGTATGACAACACAATTTATCGATAACAATTGAATTGCATAACACAATTCAGCATATCGTATGACAGAATTAGACTATTTCAGTGATCCGATGAGTACTGAGTCATTATCATGATTTTATTACGAGATATTTCCGATCAAAAAGTTTGGAAGAAATATTGGGAGGCTGAA